GGGGGGGGAGCATCAATTTTTGTTTCTGTACACAAGTTTTTGTTTGTCTCTGTACACAATTACAGTCAATAAGTACTAAACTATAATTGCGCCACTTCTTTAATTATGACAACATTACTGTTGCATCAATTTTAAGGCGTACTAAAAAATTTAATAACATGTGAGAATGGATAGTATGAGTTTAATTCAATGGTTAACTGTGAACCAATTTTAGTTTATCTAATTTTAACTACAAATTACTAGTAGATAGTGAAATCTGTCGGTCTTTACGGAGTAAATACGGAGTGTTCCTGTAATACAGCCAGTTTCGTGTCAGTTATAAACTAACATCTCCTTAATTTCAAGAACCAATAAGGAAAACATTACTTTTATTGCTAATCGTCACATTTTCGCTAATCGTACAAAGTAATCGTAAAGTTGAAACTTTGTAAAAGAAAGATGACAAGATTTTTCTCACATTCAGCAATCTTCTTCCTTGCAAAATATCACAAAATATAAGTTTGTAGAAGAAAAGTAGCTCCGCCATGTTTTCCTTCAATTGCAAGTCATATAAAGTGCAGTTTGCACAAATTGTGCCTCTATCTCCCGCTCACACAGTATCCAATAATCTCCAAAGCTAGCGCCAAAGGAGCTGGTAACGCGACATTAGAGGATTTCATTTTGTCACCCCCTCACTCAAGATATATTCACTCTGCTGCATCAATTGTGCTGCAGACACGTGTTTTAAATGTCGGGACTTTGATATAAAAACTGTTACTTTTGTAGAGGGCTCAGTTGAAATGGAACACACATGTATCTACAGCCAACTGTACTGATACAAGATTGTATACTTTAGATAAAGTATGAGTGGCCTAAATGAGACGAAATTGACTACATCATCAAGGAAATGGCTTTTGAAATGCTTAATCATTATAGATGCTTAAATAGATTTTTTATAAGATAATAATAATAGTTACCATCTTGATATATGAGCGGGATGCATTGAGTTGCTGATTCAACCAAGTTCTTTTAAAATTGCTACAGCTGGCTCATATAGATGGAATGTCCACTTCACTATACAAAAGCTAATGGAAGGAATTATAAAAAAAATTGTATCTCAATAGAAAATCAATTGATTGCCTTCAATCTCTTTTTTTGGGATGTAGATTTTTCAAAATTTTCAAAGTTTTCTCTGTTTCTTGTGGCAGAAAACATCAGGACCAAATATAATTCAAAATTATTAATATAAGTGTAGATTTATTTTTCTGAGGGATTTCTTAGAAAATAATTTTATAAATAGAATTAAAATAGTTCGTATAGTTTGCAGATTTTCTGTGGCGTACTCATACCACATATCAATTTAAGCGAATATTTACAAACAACTTTATATAATTACTAGCTGGCCCGACAGACGTCGTCCTGTGTGGATTTATGTCAAATGCTCATTCATTTTCAAGATGATCTCGTTCGCATGGCTCAATCACGTCCTGGTTGAAGTTCGTTCGCTACGCTCACTCACCTTTAGGTTGGAGCTCGTTCGCTACGCTCACTTGCCTTCAGGTTAGCTCATTCGCTACGCTAACTCATCTCCAGGTTGAAGTTCGTTCGCTACGCTCACTTACCTTTCGTTTGCAAATTAGCTGTTGTCATAAATTAAAAAAATAATAGTGCTGCACCCAGTTGGTAAACCTATTAAATTGTTAATGCTATTGAACATCACAGAATCAAATTGTTTAGTTGAACCAGCTGTTAAGATTCTGTAATTCCATTTAAATATGAGTACTCATAAGGTTAACATGGGAAACTCCAGAGCCCCTGGAGCGGACCCCTTTTGACGGATCTGCACTAAACTTCACACAAACCATCCTTGAATAATGCTTAAAAATACCTGACAGTTTCATTACAATCTGTCGAGCGTTTTGGAGTCCATAAAGGACAAACAAACAAACAAACAAACAAACAAACAAACAAACATACATTGGATTTTATATATATAGAAGATTAAATCCTCATATCCTAATTCTGTAGTTTTTTATTAAAGGTAATTCACGAAACGATTGTATCATGTGTACACTGTGGTAATCTTTGTTAAAGAAGCACTAATGCTACATTAGGGGCTGCTCCCGGCGTAGTTTAGCGTTGCCTATCCCTCCAAATTAACAACTAATGAAGAGGTGATTTGAGGTAATCCCAGAACAGACAAATGAGTGTTTATTTGACGTCTATAGCCTCTAAATTCATTTGAAAGCCATTGCTAGGCCGCGATACTTATCATAGTGTTCCGTTAATGATGGGTTCGCTATGCAGTCATTGTTAGTTATGTGATGATAGTGAATACATGTAAAATGTTATATTGTATCCCCTGCATATGGACATTAATTTTCAGGAATATATTAACCGGTAAAGTTGTAATATAAGTTAAAAAATAAATTGCAATAAGTAAGGTATTCTAGTAAATGTAGTCAAGTAATGTACGAGACCATAATTGTAAAAGAAAATCAATTCATTCTTTAGATATTACATTGAAAATTTTTACTGTATCAATTTTAATGCTTTCTTAAAGTTTTACTTCTTATAGTGTCAGGTAAAAAAAAAACTCTGTTACTAAATGAAATATAATACAGGCTAAATACGAACTTATTAATATTTGAACTTCAAAATATTCTTGTACTGATTTTTCTTTAGGATCAGATTTGGCACAATGCCAAATGGGATCCGGGTCCATAAGTGATCTCGCTTGGTATTTAACCAGCGAGATTCACATTAAAGGCAAGCACTAGTGTTTTGACAGGGAAGACGTGTTTTACTTAACGCGGGGGGGAATTTGGCTTTTTAAAGACTTTTGACATTTAGGTTACGTATATTAATATTATACTTGAACCATGTCCTCGAGCCTGCCCCCAGACTAACGAAATGGAAGCGTGATCCATGCGCAGGCCCGAGAAGCGGCTCACAAAACATTACTTAACAAAATGAGAACCATGGATGGAGGTTCAAGAACAACACGCCATTTGAGAGAAACGAGCTGTAATTAACCATTTAAAAGAAAACACAACAACAATAATCAACAACAATACATGAATTAAATACTCTCAATAAACCTTAAATAAATTTAGGTACCCGTTTAAGCTGCTGACTTACAATAATTTATTTTAATCATTCAGAAAATCAGAAGGATTTAGTAAAAATTTAACATTTAATAAAAGGAAATTACCAAAATTAACAAACTATAACAATAATAAAATATGATGACTCTTTTAATAAATATCTGAAAAGTTAACAATTAACTAGGGGCCCCAAAAATTAAATACAGTGGAGAGATTTTAAAAATCGGATGATTAGGCAACAGTAGAATAAAATTTGAAATAAATAACAATAGGTTGCTGTGCTTATAAATAGTCAACAAATGTTAAAAATCTTAAAGTCCATTCGGCAACAGCAATATATATAACAATTAGATAAATAACAATTAGTCGGTAACTTGCGGTAACAGTCTTCAAGGGTGTGACACCGGAGGGCCATGAAGCTGGGCGGACAGCACCGGAGGAGAGAAGAGGCAGGGCGGAGAGGGGGCCAATATGCAGCGCCAGCCTAGTCGCAACATTCCTCTCCGCTGAAGATGGTCAGTCATTTTCCTCCTCACGGGCCCCAAAAGGCGCGCGGGGCGTACTAAAGTTACTCCATAAAGAAAGTTCTCACAAACGGCCAAGAATAAAACTTAAAAGGCACATTTATTATCCAAAAAAGGGAGATTTAAAAGGATAAAAATCTTCAGTGAAGTACTCAAATCCGACGTCTCGCAACCTCTGACACTTCGCGGTCGGAGTAATAAGAACAAAACTCACAGCCTTGTTCAAGGGGCCGTGGATTGACAACGAAAAGCTGAACTAGCCTACTATAAAAAAAAAAACACTTGAACCATTGATCATGAGTCGTGACATTCGCCCGGTGGAAATAGTCACGGCTCATACTGCGAAGAACATTTTTGTATGCTATAAAATTACATTGAAATAGGTGATCGATTTAAAGTTCAGCTATCCATCACAAAATTAAACATGCTAATTTATTCATACAATTTAAAAATATTAATCATAATTTGAACGTTGTTTCTCCTTAGGGAGAAATACATTCATGTGGATAAGATTACATATGTGGTTGTACAATTCTCCTCTCATATCCATTTACTCGTTGCATTGTTTGCCCACCTCTTATCACCCTGTTATCATTAAGTGTTAATTTTACTGTTACTGTTCCAAGTTTACCCAAGAAGAGGTTCCCAGTGAACAACTCCAGCTGTTGAATCTTATCTGTTCATTAATTCAACATCATTATAACATCTCCCAAATACTCTAAGTATACATAATCTTGGTTAAATTGTCTTTGTAATGGTTGCCAAGACACTTAGGGATTGTGTTTGGCACTAAATGGTATACTGTTTCTAGATATATAACTGCTACTAAATGGTATACTGTATCTAGATATGTAACTGCTACTAAATGGTATACTGTATCTAGATATCTAACTGCTACTAAATGGTATACTGTATCTAGATATCTAACTGCTACTAAATGGTATACTGTATCGAGATATCTAACTGCTTCTAAATGGTATACTTTATCTAGATATCTAACTGCTACTAAATGGTATACTGTACCTAGGTATCTAACTACTACCAAATGGTATACTGTATCTAGATATCTAACTGCTATTTAGGAGTTTTTCTTTTGTCAAATATACCTTATCGCTTTTCAATAGACACGTATAACAAACATTTTAATAAAATCGTAATATTATTAAATTTCTTGCCTTTTGCTGTACTTACAGTTGTTATAATGAGACTGTCATTTTTCTAAAAGTTTTAGTTTTATAAACATGTCTAGGTATTCACTGTATACTACATTAGAAACACTTTTGTGTTTTCTACATTTATTTAACTACATACTGTCTTTGACTACAACTAGAAATTCCATCCCCATGAATGTCACCAATAATAAAGCAATCGCCAGTCATTTTAAGCCAAAATGATGGTAGTTGATGTGGATGTAAGCCACCGACAGATTGGGTAAATTACTGATACTGTTGAATATACTATTTTGTTACCAAATCAAACCTATGGAACGACTTATAGCAACTGTAACAACCAATCAACTACGCCATAAACAAAAAATAAGGTAGAAAATCGAGTAAACTAGCACATTCATTAATGGCTCACTTAAATGTTATTTTTAGTAAAAAAAATTGTGACAGCTTTTACATATTGATGGAATGTCTACATCAGTATCCAATAGTCAGATATAATATAAATTGGGTAATATCGATAACTTAATAATACTGGTGTAGATGCCTCATTCATGTAACTAACTGTAGGTGGTTCTTATTAAAACTAAAACCTAGCTAAATGGACCTTACTTGTGCATTACTGACAAAGTTATATTTCCTTCTCTAGGTGTGTATCATAGTTGATGTTATTCAACGAAATACAAAATTTATTGCCTAATTTACTTTGATTAGTTCTAATTTCTACAGACATGAGGAATTTAAAACAGTGCACTCTGGTGGTGGTTGGATTCAACTAAGATCATTCTTGTTTTTAGTCTAAAACTATTCTAGTCTAAAAGTTTTTACCACGATTTAAAAGCGACTATGGTTTAACACATGTATGGTTAACCTATCGAGGTAGTTGTTTGCTCAACTTCAATCGTCCACCTTATCCTGTTAATTTAAAGCTGGTTCATTACTTGACCATATCGCTCATAAACGTGGACGTATAGTTATAGCTAGGCTCGGTTTAATACCGGGATCAGTGTCTAAGACTGGTTGATAGCACCATAACAAGCACTATGAACCAAACTGTATCAACTGGGCATTATAGGTAATTATGTCAATTATAGATTTAACAAGTTGCTAAATTATCATTTTAGAAGTATAGTTACTTGTACAATGAACCTAGATAGTATCTAGATTTCCCATCCTTATGGAACAGCTGAGGCTAATTTTATTGTTAGTTCTGTTTGGTGTACTGTAGATGTCGTGTTTTGTTTACAATTGAGGCCTATTCCGGAAAAAGGGCACATAGGCCAAAATGCAGTTTTGAGTTTATATTATTTTAGGGTTGGTTTATCATGATTTGTGCCTCACAGGTTGGTTATATAGCTAGTGGACAAGTATTGTTTATGATTAGATAGTTTTACTTGGTTAAACGAGGTTTAAAATACTGAAATAGCAAGAAACTAATTGTAAACAAAACACGACTCTACAGTACAACGGACAGAACTAACAGTAGAATTTGCTTCATCTGTTCTATAAGGATGGGAAATCTACTAGGGGAGTATGTTTTATCATTCTGTGTATAGTCAATGGTTTTATCTATGATAGTATACAAACATATGATCCAAGAGTTAAAATAAATTGTTGAAATCAAGATTAGTTGAAATTTAAAACAACTGACTTTTACTGCGTACGGACGAAAAAGTCTTTTTAGCGAATTTCCCTATAGGGAAGTAGCTATTACCGTAGGTGGCACGGTAAGACCTAGACCCGGGACCGATTTACTTTTTCATTTTCATGTCCCCAGAGGCCAAAAACACCATTCGTTCAAATTTTTATATATGTATATATATATAGACTTATATATATATATATATATATACGTCCGTGAACGCGATAACTTGAGTAATTTTTGTCCGATTTTGATGAAATTTGGTTTAAAGGTGTAAAGCGGGATAAACTTGAATGAGTTCGCGAACCACCACGATCGGACCATGGGAACGGGGCTTTACGGGGGGTTTTATGGGGTAAAAATTGGTTTTTCTCACTTTTGACCCTCAAAACACAAAATTTCCCGATTTCTCTTTGGACCTTTTTAAAGAGCATAAAAAAACAAATAATTTAGTATATAAAAGTATTTTTGTTCGATTATTAGTAACGGAGAAAATTTAAAAAATTGTAAATTTAAAATTCCCATGTTATTCTTATGGAGAATATTGTCAAATGTTGTAGTTTGCTTGTTTATGGATATATTTTGATCAAACTTGGCAAATTTATTTATTTTGTACTAAGCTATCAATATTTTACTCAAAAACACACTTTATTAGTTTCCTTGTAGCAGCAAACCTAGGTACTCGTTAAACCTAATGTTATAAAATATATTTAACTGAAAATCAATTCAGACAAATGGAAATTCGCTTAGTCGGCAGGTTTGCTGCGGCGGGGGTATTTACTTCCTAGGTCTATTTTACACCTGTAACGCATGAATTAAAATTAACTTTTTGCTTCAGTGTGACGAGTTGGCATTTTACATCATTAACTAGCATTACAGAATTATATGACGTTAAGAAACGTAAACCCTGATTCAGGTGTGAAAGAAGCTATAAACAACAATATTAGTAATCCACCCAGGAAACAAAAGCTAACCACAAATCTGTAGAGAAAATAAGATTTTTACAAATGCAAACAAGAAGAAAAAAATCTGGCCAATGTTCCTGAAACAGAGCAGGGTTCAAGTTAAAACAAAAACCGTAATCATATTTTGCAGCGATAAAAAAATAAAAGAGGTAAATCAGAGTAATCCAATTACTGCAAGGGTCATTGTGAAATGCAACTGCATCCAAACTGAAGCATGCAGCGAGGTATGTGAAGAGCCCTCCATACTGCAGTTGTTGCTACGTGCTGCGTGTTCAGATTAGTCGCATTTACCCTGTTTCATTACCTTGTTGATGTTTTAGAGGGTTGTAGTTAGTTGAGGTTTGAATGGAGAAAACAACACACAACTGGTCTAAACTGGGGTTTTAAGTGTTTTGGAGAAATTTGGAATGATATGTGTTGCACTAAATCGTGAAATAGCTATTTCTTATTAAAATAATTAAAAGTGATTATATTTAATGCTTATCGATCAAATATAATTTGGAGCTAAATCTGAAGCAGGGAGTAGAATGATTTAGCTCAACTGGGGAGGGTCCACTTCATTCCTGACAGAAACTTGGGAGTTGATATCAAGTAAATTTACTTGTTAAGTTTATAATTTTTCCCCTAAAATATATAACAATATCTACATAAGATAAGGTTGTTAGAATTTTCGCTCTAATGATTTAGAATGTCATTCCAAATCTTAGAGGGGAGTTTTAAATTATCTAATACACCTAAAGTTTGTAATTTATATGGAATGCATGTCCAGTATATTGGGAAAGATGATTAATATTGTGTGCTGAAAAAAACCGTACAAAAGTTTCAGCAAGAAAAAAATCCAAACTCTTTTCCTCGTAGTAATCCTATTTGTATGTTTATTGAATTCGCTAAAACCCATTATTGATTTGTATACTATAAATATTTGAATGGAAGAACTGCCATGATGTTTAGTACGGTTTGAATTTTAAAAATATAACATTAATAACAAGCGAGAAAAAAGGGTTATATTATGTATATATATTTTATTATTTAATATTAGAACGATTTAAGTAAATAATATGTTTGAATTGTTTATACTACCAGGCTCTGTCAAATGATCAAATGAGGTAAGACTTATACACCCCTGTAGTATTAGACTACATCTGTCCATCTTCAGGTGCCACAAAAACATGTAGTCATCCCATTTTATTCATGTATTTCACCCATATAATTAAAATGGTTGACTAAAATCGTAAAGAATCGTCTGTATTTTAACTTCAGCACTCGTTACATTCAAGGTTATGCGTTATTGTAGTAAGCTCTTTTACGTTTATATACGATTTTTCAAGTATTTTCCCCAGTTCAATTTGTTAAAACGTTTAAAGAGGTCAAGTGTCAGGACAGCTATTAAAATTATATATTTAATAATTTAATGATTATTCTCATGAAAACTTGTTAATATACTTTCATAATTGTTGACTAAAAGCGCAGACTAGGGAAACAACCAAACCGTTCTAGCTTAGCAAAGAGTTACGTAAGTAATTTTTAACGCAACCCGTTTTAGCGTAGAAAAACGCTTGTGTCACTTGGTCCTGGCGATATAAAACGTCATTATCTGCTCATAAATATCCAAGGATCCAATTCTGACACTAAATGCAGGGTATAATGTAAGGATCTCACTAAAGCAGCAATATTTCTCAATTCAGCTTATAACCTGATCATACGTTGTATGGAACAATCTTGTAGAAAATAAGCTAAATCATATCCTGCGTGCTTGCAATAATAACGTCTTGCTTGGCAAAGTAAAGTAGCGCAGGAATATATTAGGAATTAGATTTTTATCTATCCTTTAAAATAAAATTTGTAAGTATATAACCTGTTACGTACAATAAGGAGCTCTTAAAATAGTAATATAATCTTTGTTTTAAGCAAATTTGTCTGTTTAGAGGAAAATTAGGATTAGTAAATTACGATGAATTGATAAGATCATATTTAAGTTAAATTATAAAATAAAAAAAACATGATTAATTTACATCGCTAAATAAACTTAACCTCGGTCAAACATGTTTGTTCAATTAACCTTACGGTTGTGAAAATGCTAAAAATTATTAAAGTTCATTACTAATTTTAGTTCAATTACTAAAATCTAAATGATATTTAGTGTTCATCCATTAATCAAGGAGATTAATAAACTCAACAATGCATAAGCAGTATTACTGAGCCAAAACTCAATCTAAGTATTTTGTTTCCTGTAAGTGTAGAAGTAAAGAATTTCTTACATTTCAACAGAGAAGTACTGTAAAAATTAAATTGAAAGGTAATCCGTCAATATATAATTTTACAAATGCCCTTTGAAAACCCGTCAGTCGTGACATGAACAAGGACAAAGAACAAGTAATTAGCAACTCATTGAGTCAACAAGTGGACAAAGTATTTAGAGCCACCTACCTTTTTGTGAATAAGGCGGATTAGTTAATTTTAACAATCCTGAATTAGAATGTTGAATATTTCTTACACACTTTCAGTTGGAGTGCTTGTTATTACACTTTTAAGATGCTCGGAATGCCCAAATAAGTTTATTGCTGTTTTATCTTGCGTTTAAATTGCATTTAATTTAGTTCAATGGACGTGTTTAGTAATGAATGGAGGTTCAAAGATAATTTCGTCCTGGTATTTCATATTTACATAGACCATCTATATAACATCCCTCAGTATACAAATAAATAATTTTACAGTACTTTTGGTATTATACGGAGGCCACTTATTTTACAGAGCGCTGTGGCGGTTATGGTTGGTTGGGTTATCATAAATATGTTTGTAGGACTTTCGTCATTTTGTTATAAATCGAACGATACCAGATGAGTTATACTTCCTATTTATGATAACCCTACCTAACATAACCACCACAGTACGCTGTATAAGGGTGTCCTCCGTATCATACCAATGAATTAATTGTACTACTAAGTACTAATTACATAGAATAAGTACATAAAATAAGACAAAAAGTACTAACTAAAAAGTTATGTTTCAATTTGAAAATGAACTTTAAGAATCTATATTTTCACTTTAGTTACATTAATCCATAAAAACACCCACTGAAGTAACGCCAATCACTACTTATTTTATCATAATGATTACAACTTAACACTTTATTAGACAATACAATCGTGTGTTACCGATATAATCGCAATTGTACGATTGCAATTTGAAGAATTCATTTAAAAGGATAACAAGAGATGAAGTTTGTTGATGTGACATTCGCAGCTACTTGCGAAGCGAGAGACGTAGTTATTGTGCGCGCTGCGCAACAGAGATAGAGAAACAATTTGTGCAAACTGCAGTTCATACGAGTTCCACACTTCCACAGCCTCCCCTACTCTGCCAATTTCAAAACAAACTTTTAGTATATTTTATATGAAAATGGGACTAACTAGATTACCATAAAACCCATCCTGCAGACATCCCAAAGTAACACCGATCTTGCAAAAGAATGTTGTTTAATTCCAAAATACAAAGAAAACCCAGCTAAGGAATGTATAAGTTAACTCCTTAAATTGAAGTAACACATTCATGTTGTTAACCTTGAAAGATATTTCACTACTTAATTAATATCTTAAATGCATGCAGCTAAAGCTATTCATTAGCAGTTTCCTTTTCCTAAATTTGTTTCAAAGCAAACATATGGTGCAAGGAACAATCATGAAACAATTAATTGCAGAGTGGGTGGCAATATATTAGCACACATGTATATAAACACAGACGGTGCATTTAATATTGCATATTTCCTAAGGATGGTCGTTCTGGTGAGTGTGTAGTGAAGGTGGATTATAAGCCAAGGCACAATAATAGGGCGACGAATCAGTATAGGATGTGTTTTAATGGAATATTTCTATTACATTCTTAATCAAAGAGTGTCAAACAGTATTTTTCAAAACTTTCGTAACAATGTTTTAAAAACCAATTGAAGGGAGTGCAATTTTTTATGGTTTGGTTAGCTATTATTGTAGTCAAGTATTGTACAGTGACAGTGTATTTAAAAGAATACAATAAGTAATAAATTTATAACAAACGAGCTAAACCAGTTCTTCTCAAAGGGAAGAGGACAAGAAAGAGTACAGTGCTGTTTTTTATCTGCTTTGTATATGGTTACACAATAAGAACTTTATCTTACTATTTTGTGGTTAAATCCTTTTCTTTAAAATCAAATAATATGCTTACATTTTCTAGACAACAAAATGCAGTGTATAAGTGGCATTGACTCGTGGTTTAAATTTCTCTAACTGTAGAAAATATGTATATTTTTGATTTAAATTGAAAAGATCAACTTAAAATGTAGACCTACTTATTTAACCCTACTTATAGTTTTAGACAATCTATCAAAAATAATCTAACAACATACCGTAGTGTAACAATAAAATTTGTCAATGGGTGATGTTACATAGAATAACGATGTTTTACGCTAAATCTTAAATATCAGCCAAGCCTATGTAACTCATTAGATAAATATCCATTAAATACCATAAAAGTGTAGTAATGGCTCACTACAGTGATTTTTCTAAACCTTATGCTGAGTCATCTTATTACAACTTAATAAACAATGTAGATTTAGAATACATGTAGCAGCTATGTAGATATTAGTAAATGTAGTTGTAGCTTTATATCTTAATTAAAATGCACATTTTATTTTGCAGTTCGTTGCTCTGGTTAGTGTTCTGTATACACTCAGCGTGTTCTACACCACGAATTCGCAAACCCACCGCCACGTCCGCCTTTTTCAAGTAACATATTAAGTGACTTATTGGAAATATTTTAGATATTATAACTAAATAAATAAGAATTGTATTTACACAGGGTAAGAGTTAGTTGTCGATAAATTCAAAAGGACGTCATTGAGTAAACAGAGCCATAAAAGTGTTGTCGATTTCCATTTTAACGTTTGCAAATTAGAACACTCTTTTGTATATTTACCATTTTTTACGATTTTAAACATTTAAAACCCGCGATCTTTTCATTTTTACCCATAGGTTATAGTTATTTATCAGAATTTTAAATTTTGTTGTAGATACACAATTACAAGGGAATTTAGGAATTCTGGAATAAAAAACAACCACCTCTTATAGACCCTAATCATCTCATTAGGACATGTTAGTGAATGTGTTACATACATGGCAATACTTAAATTAGTGTCTACAGTAATGATAAATACAAATATTTAATTGGCATGATTGAGAACATTCAATAAAATTTACAAGTATTGATTTTATTTATTAGGTACTGGCGTATATTGTGGCTATATATACCCAGCATTTGTGCTGCAGCTACTACCACGGACCTACCGCCAAGCCTGTCGGCCTCCACAACGGCTACCTGGCAGACACACATGAGGTAGCAGCAGCCAAGAACGCTCATCTCGCCGCTCTAGCCAAGGAATCTCACTACGGAGGAGACTACGGATACGATCATGGCCAGGAAAACAGTGGCTCTTATGACGGCCATCATGGAGACATCAGGTACCACGGACCCACCGCCAAGCCTGTCGTCCTCCACAACGGCTACCTGGCAGACACCCATGAGGTAGCAGCAGCCAAGAACGCTCATCTCGCCACTCTAGCCAAGGAATCTCACTATGAGTACGATGGAAACTATGGTTAGGAACACAGTGGATTTTGTGTAGACATCAGGTACGACGATTCAAACTCTTCACGGATGCAACAATGTCCACTATAGTGATTGATACATTTTGACTATGTTATGGACCTGACCATGGACACTCCCATAATGTGGCGCCTTACCACGGACTTGTGACCAAGTCTGGGGGGTGCTAAAACCCTCTTGATACCACAGTTAAAATGTGAGATATTCACTTATCAGTTGTATTGCTACAGAGCTTAACGTAGAAGCTTCTTTGAACAAAACTCAAGAAGATTTGATTAAAACAGAGCCAATTAAATCAAGTGGTACACACAATGTGATTTTTTCTTGCATTACTACCAGAAGTCTTATTAATCACGAGTTGCTTTATCCGTAGTTAGCAACAGAATGAGGACGTTGAATAAAATTATGTCATTTTAAAATCAATCAATTTAAGGTTATGAGTTTAGAAACAAAACTTAATCAACTATTTCTTCATGTTTATAAAAGGGATGTTCAACCGTATACTACATGCTGTAAAGGTAGTGTTGGTGCATCATTGCGAATACTATACTATACAAATTTGTAAAACATGCGCTTATGCTTTTAAAACATTTTTAAAAACTACTTACACCTTGACATTGTAAAAATCTTAGAACATTTAATAAGTGTTGCAGTATAAAATATACTAATTGACTTTAACGTCAAACGAAATAAATATACCGTATGAACTTATCAAAACGTTAACAAAGTATTGTACACATATTTTCTTTAGGTTCTCATGGAGACAACAAAACAGAAAGCTATTATTTCTCAAAGGTCACATTGAAATTGTTTACGTCCATGGGTTTCTTATGCCCGAGCTAGAAGTTTTCCTGGGTTTCAAACAATTGTTGGATTTAGTATCTTATACCACTTTGAAACGAGATCTGATTATACATTTTATTAAACGCTTAACTGATTAAGGGGTATTTTGATGCTATGTACGTCTTTAATAACTTTCGGTGCAACTGACCTTTTCAAAACTGTCTGGAAAAATGTGTTAAACATATTTTTTCCGAATGTTATCAATAAACTTTTTAATTATATCAATGAATTTTGTAATGATATCTATGAAAAACTATGATACGAAACCTAATTTGGGATGGTTCTTCTATTGTTTCTTATTCGGCCTTGTTTTCTAGAGTTGGCGCGAAGGTTCTTGTCTCACCCTCCTCACACTGTTTTGCTTTAATGATAACCTTATTGTCTATGTTATGGTCTCCCTCAGATGACATACGACTGAATAGAATTCACTTTCTCTTCTTACGTATAAACCTCTATCACTTTTCTTAATAAAAAACAAATTCTTACATCTCTTGCAAATGCAAAACTATTTAGAACATTTGTGATTCAGAGTGTTCCTTAAATAGAAAAATAGCGTTATCAGTCACAAGAAATCACAAACATACTAAAACAGCAACCACTCTCTAACAAGTTTAGCAAAGCTTTGAAAAGGGCAGAATACAAAAAAAATTTACTTAATAATACGTCCTGGTTTTATACTAGTGTTAAGTATAATACTGAGTAGTCAGGTCAGGCACAAGTATCTTCAAAGAGTGTACACAATTTCAATCTTTAATAATAATATACTTAATAATAATTAGTATCGACGTTTTTCAAAAAGTCCCCATAATATCACAGACTAAAGAAAAACAGTGTTTTTTTATTTATAAGATTCAGCGATAATACCTACGACCAAGTTACGACCAATACATGACGAATTTATTTAGTTTATTTAGTGTTTAGTGTGGCCTTGCTACGACTGACATTTCTTTCGACTATACAAAATGTCTTTATGTTTCATCAAACATTTGGTATACTTATCGTTCTAATAATAACAATAATGTTATTGATTTAATTGAAAACAGTTACACACATATTGGTGCAGGCTGGATATAAATGAAGAGTAAGTGGATAATGGAGTTACATGATATGTGTAGCTTGCTAACTAAATAAGACTCTCTGTTTCTTAGCCAGGGCCTTTTTGTTAAAAGTCTGATGATCAAGAATATTTATCTCATACTTGAAATCATTTAAATGTATGACATTATAGTATATATACAGGGTGTTCATTTGAAAACTTTCCATATCTGTTGTGTGCAAAGGTAAGGCTTTTTACACTTGTTTGTTTTCATTTCGCCCCAATTTGGACATGCCAAATCCAATAAAATTATTTTCAATTTCGAAAAATGCCCCAAAAGGGCCCAATTTGGGGGGTAGGGGTGCTTTTTGAGAAATTTTCAAATGTAAACATGGGTTGTGTGATTCATCAATTTAAAGGTCTAATCACCCCGACTATTTTGGTGCAATAAAAATGTAATTATTTTTAACCGTATTTACAGGGTGGGTCAAAACGTTTTAAAAAAATACTTTGAAGTTAAGTACCGTATTACCCGAACTACTGAACGGAACAGCGCCAAATTTATTTCCAAGCTTATTCTTGATCAACTCTTTCAGATAACTTGTAATAAGGGCATTTTCCGTGTTATTTTCTAATTTAAAAAAAATCTCAAATTTGAAGAATAAAAGAAAGCTGAAAACTCAAAATTCTTAAATAGCAAGGTATAACAAATTTCATACCACGTGAAAGGTCCTTTTTTAACAAACATTTTACGTATTTAAATTTTCTTTCTATCTCTTACCTTTTACAAATTGCAGTAGAAAAACTGAATTTTCCATAGTAATATTGTAACTAGTTTTCTAATAAAACAGCCAAAATTCGTCTCTAGACACATTAAATGGTGCATTAACTGAAGGAAACAATTCATAATTATTGATACCCTGATTGACAAACAAGTCATTACGTTTTACTTTGTGAAAAACAAGTCTTATAGCTGATGAGGACAACCTACATGTGGGCCGCTTTCTCTAGTAGGTACCATTGACTAGTCAATGGTAGTACTAATTTCCAAAACGAATATGGTGTACACTTAAAAAAATAGACTTTATTTTTACTTATTGGACAGAACAAAAGTGTTTCAGGATAACTGCAAAGTGTTTAACAATAAATATCCAGGTAAGACCTTAAGTCATAAAACTGTAAATGATTTAGTTAAGACATTTCTGAAACTGGCTCAGTTACCAATGAGAAAAGAACAGGATGAAGGGTCCAAGATGAACTGACACAAGTAAAAGTAGTTGATCAATTTGTAATTAATCATAATACATCGTTGAGCAAAGTGCAATGTGTTTAGTTAGAAAACTAGTTATAATTTTACCATAGAAAATTCCGTTTTTCTACTGCAATTTTTAAACGGTAAGAGATAGAAAGAAAACTTAAATACGTAAAATGTTTGTTAAATAAGGACCTTTCACGTGGTATGAAATTTGTTATACCTTGCTATTTAAGAATTTTGAGTTTTCAGCTTTCTTTTATTCTTTAAATTTGAGATTTTTTAAAAATTAGAAAATAACACGGAAAATGCCCTTATTACAAGTTATCTCAAAGAGTAGATCAAGAATAAACTTAGAAAGAAATTTGGCGCTGTTCCGTTCAGTAGTTCGGGTAATACGGTACTTAACTCCAAAGTACTTTTTTTAAAAGTTTTGACCCACCCTGTAAATACGGTTAAAGATAATTACATTTTTATTGCACCAAAATAGTCGGGGTGATTAGACCTTTAAATTGATGAATCACACAACCCATGTTTACATTTGAAACTTTCTCAAAAAGCACCCCTACCCCCCAAATTGGGCCCTTTTGGGGCATTTTTTGAAATTGAAAATAATTTTATTGGATTTGTCATGTCCAAATTAGGGGGAAATGAGAACAAACAAGGGTTAAAAGCCTTACCTTTGCACACAACAGATATGGAAAGTTTTCAAATGAACACCCTGTATATATATTTAATGTCATTGAGAATCATAACAAAATACATATGTGTTAAACAATTTTCTGTGGAAGAATGAACAGCAATCATTGTCCTTTTGGTACAACGCATCTACAAGCGCAGACATATAGCGACGTCATAACGAAATGACCTTTGATCATTCAGCCGAAAGGACATTTCAATACCCGCCCATAAATAAAATCTCATTTCTGTAATATCGAATCATGTCTTTGATGTGTTCAGAGGTTATCTCCGTTTCTTTACGTATTCAATACAAACATGATGTCATACTTTGGTCAGAAATGAAAGTTTTCCTGATAGATTACCTGATATATTCTCGAGAGGCCAAAGTTCGTATGCGTTGTCTTTTAGCAAATGAATTTTGTAACCATATTATAAATTTAAAAAAGGTTTACGAAAGATAATGTTTGTTAAAACTATAGTACAGTTATCTTTAATTTTTTAACATTTATTTACAAATCAAGTTGACGCTGAACGTTGACGGTTTTTACAGACTTTAAAAACGTAATTAATGAAATGGCTACATATTTAATGAACCCAACCCGTAGTTTTTATTATTTGAAAATTGATCCATTTATCAATTGTGTAGACGTAGACCATCAGCTAAGTATACCATCTCTTTGAGTATTTGTAGAGAAAAAAATGAATAAAACTTTAGAGGATTACATGTTAACTGGCAAAACCATTGACTTTATACCACACAAAGTATTTATGGTATATGGTCAATGATAAAACATGCTTCTTTCGTGCTGAGGATATTTAAAGATGTTTGAATAAAGGTAAATTTGAGGGTTGATTGTAGATGGTTGATGAAAATACGATCAAAACCAATTGAGCTTCTTTTATGCAGAATCAACTTTAAGGTGATTTGAACTCCTCTGACCGCTTTTACATATGTATTGGTAAAACTCTTAATGAATACAGTGAGGGCTTGGATTTGTAGGGAACAAGCTACAAGCACAGTTCACGCCTCACTGCACTAAACAGCTCGTTTACAATAGCGTCATTTGAAGTAGGCTTCTACCAACACGTATGTGTATACATTGTAGCATGATGGGGAGGGTAGTAGCTAACTGATGAACTATCAGTCAACAATAAACAACTCGCGGTGTTATCACACATTGGCTATCTGATAACAGCTTCCCTTCATTAGCATCATGCTCTTGCGATCAACGGGGGATGGATCAACTCGAAAGGATTTACAGCTAAATAAATATTAATTTATATCAACGAGTTATTCCCTAGTACTTTTATAAATGGAATCTCTTTAAATTAAAGACGTCAAATAATAGACTGAAATAACTTAACACATGACTTCAGGCTACGTCCACAGGATCGTGGCATTACCAAAGCAAACCAAACCTCGCAAACCAAAAAAGAGCACGACTAAACCAACTCACTACCCTGGATCCCCAGCACTTCACCCTTAGAACAAATTATTACTTTTCCAAATAGGACAGCCTATATAGATATAAATGTATATATATCCTTATTCCCCTATCTACCCTTATAATATGGTGTCAGGTTTCAATTTGGGTTGTGTTAAAACTGGATTACATTGCTTTCTTTACTCGATTATTTATTTGATTATTTTTGTAAAAAAAATGAACATCTTTATTCATCAGATAACCGAGCTGAAATCAGAATTATAATATTTGTAATAAGGTATTTATATGATAAAGTAAACTTCTCACTTTTTAATAAAGGAAATCTAAATAAACACACAATTATTTACATTAAAGATTTGTTTATGTGACGGTTAATAGTGATAATACTCGGAATTCTTATGCAAAGTCTGCAGATGATGTTCCCTGGCGGCAGATACCTCGCGAGTGTCTGCCAGGTATCCGGACTTGAGCACCACGGGCTTGGCGAGGGGTCCGTGGTAAGGCACCACATGATGGGAGTGTCCATGGTTGGCACCGTAGTCTGAGGCGTATCTGCCACTGTAGTGGTCACCGTAGCCTCCGTGAGCCTTGGCCTTGGCTACGGCGGCGAAATGCTCAGCCTTAGCAGCGGCCACCTCGTGAGTGTCTGCGATGTGTCCGTCATGTAGGACGTGTGTGATGGCGGTGGGACCGTGGTACCTGATGTCTCCATGATGGCCGTCATAAGAGCCACTGTATTCCTGGCCGTGACCGTATTCGTAGTCTCCTCCGTAGTGAGATTCCTTAGCTAGAGCGGTGAGATGAGCGTTCTTGGCTGCTGCTACCTCATGGGTGTCTGCCAGGTAGCCGTTGTGGAGGACGACGGGTTTGGCGGTGGGTCCGTGGTAGTAGCTGCAGTATACACTCTGAGTGTATAGGGTTGCGAAAAGTACCAGGCACTGTAAAAAAAGAAATTCATAAATTTTAGCAATTTAACCTACCGTGACGAATAGGAAATACAGTATTTTTACGGCTAACCTTAGCAAAGTGTATCTTTCTATTCCCTCTCAAGTTAATTTTAGAAGGGATCCCATTTTGTTCGAGTAAAATTGTCGATATATATATTTCATTACAAACAACTAATCAACTAACAAAGAAGTTTTTACATTGTTTGACACATATACACGCATTGTTTGTCTCTTTATCCTTAACCAAAACGTATAGCTTTTTCTTAAATGTTCAAACTTATTCACACTATCTAACAATGCTATCCACCAACCAGAGTGTTCATGTTGTAATGCTGAGGATGAACTGCCTCAGTGAGAGTTCTGCCTGGTAGATATAGTGGTCTGGTCATTGGTCAATATCCTGGGAGGATGCTTTCAAGAGCAACGGCTGAAGTGGATCCACGAAATCCACATTCCGTGCATTCTTAATTAATTAGTCACATGTGATCTCGAGTAGAGTTTCTCATTAATTTTACAATAGTGACTGGGTTACACAAGCACTAACTTATATTCAATTTTAAGATGAAAATCTACTCACGTATTCACTAGAAAGGGTCAAATGTCGTTATTTCATGCTGTAAGTGGCTGTTCGTTTTGGTGTTTATATAAGTATGCGTTAATATTTAGCAAACATTAATCGATATGATTTATTTCAAATTTATGAATGCAGCTGTAGATTAGCTGTCATAAGTTTAAAACATGTACCAAAAGTCATTAAATAGTTACAAGTTACATTTGTCACATTATAACATATACGTAAGAGGATAGTATCAATATAATAAAAACAATAAAAACCAAAATAAAATTACAATCATAATCCTTTCAGTTAAATTCTGTTTAAAAATCTTAAAAAATTAACACAGGGATGTTGTCCTCTAGAACGCTTTAGACATAAGCTAAACCCCTGTTTAAAGTTTTAAAAGTACTAAGTTGCTTGATTTAATGTCTAAACCCGCACAGAATGATAGAAAGCTCAGTCTCCTTGTGTTCAAGAAGTTATTGAACCCCCCAAACAGACACACTTGGTATGCATTGCCTAGTGATTGTCTACTTATTCCCGTCTAATTACAGACTTCCGCGAAACCACCTGAGATTTGGTTGGTTTCACGTTTCCTTTCCCGCAAATAAGAAGATTCCATCAAAGATGTTCCTTTATTGCTCCCTTAAAATTCCTCTTTGTGTTATTTGAGTCACTCATGACAAAATAATCCATGGTAAAAATGCCTTGACCAATGATTAAACTTATGCATACAATCCTTACTTTATAGACTTCACTTTATAAACATTAGTTATTCTAAAGAGGACGTGGTGGTCTTAGCTTCTTATTTGTTAGGATTATTAATGTGCTCAGTTGTAGATAATTTCGTCATTCTAGCACTGGACATTATTCCACGATTACTATAAAAATACTGGCATGGATCATAAACATAAACAAATGACGTTTTTGGCCCAAAAATAAACATTATTTTACAATGCTTAAATGGAACTACCAAAACATATGTTCAATGCTATTAGTATAGGATTCGGGCCAACAACGTCATTTGTTTATGTTTATGATCCATGCCAGTATTTTTCTAGTATTCGTGCATTATTAGAAATGCAGAAGGTTTCGTAAAACAAATGAGCATGTAATTAAGAAACATGAGTTAAAGTTTGACTTAACTAGGCTACTTGGGTAGAAAACCTTATTAGAAAACTTGTTTTACTTACATGTGTTAAAGTCTGATTCTTATTAATTTATCACTGACTAAAACCTTTTTACATAAATACACCCATATTTATTGCGTTTACTTCGCCTTTTTTACACGATTTGTGCCATTGGTTAATTACAAAATACGGTAACGAATTTTTATTTATAGACCTATATTGACTGGATTATTCCGTTGAATTATTTTCTTTAATTTGTTAGTCTCTACGGAGTAATGAATTACGACATCAATAAAATATGTATACAATCATCTTAAACTTCAATTTAAAATTAGCACATTGTTTCAGACTGATTTGTAAAACATAAAGGCTATTTTACCAATGATGTTAAGCAAGGTTATCATTAGATAATATAATTAGAGAAATATGTTTAGAATGTGTGTTGCTTAAGTGTTTTTTTTGCACAGTACCTACCTATTTACTTCATAAAACGCCTGTCATTATACAGGCACTTCTGAATCCTCTATAGGCTTCTTCACTGATTCAAATTTACAATTAGAATATGTGTGTAAATATTAGGGAACGCCGATTACACATTATGTTAATATGATGCCAGCAGTGGAGTTGGAACAGAATACACCTAGGCCTAACCCTTCAAAATTAACATAATTGAACGCGCCTTAGTAACGCTTAAGGTCTTAACTACTTGGCACAAAAGGTGTACAGATAAGGTGTAGATGAACTTTACTTGTTTGGCAGTGGTACTTCTATAATACCGGTACTTCAGATTCAAGTAAGGTATGATTGCCCAAAATAGGTGTGATTTTTACCATTAGAGTAGTTTATGTAAGTTTTTTTTAAGGGAAACTTTTATATCGATGATAATTTTTTGAATTATGTTATTAAAACTTATTTGTAACATGTAAGGATAACAGAGTGCTTTTTAAATCATGTTTTATTACAAGTTAATGGTATAAACAAAACGTTAAGGCTTTATTTGTGATTCAAAAATCTCTCGGAAATCTTCGCTAGGCCTCAAAGTTACGATTGTAACTTAATATTGTATACTTTGAAAAGCCTTTAAGCTATTGAGATAGGTGAGAGCGTTTGAGTACAAATTATACTTATAAGTTAAAAATACTGTAAGTTTAAATTAATTTTCAGTAATTGACACTGCATATATGCATGTTTGGGGTACTGTACAGGGGTTTATTTTTCTATTTTTTATAGTCTTACAAAGTTGTTTGCATTCTACGAAATAAACTTGTTATGAAATAACTTTCTAACTTTATTGTGGCTGTATTGGTCAAGATATTATGAATGTTACTAAGGAATAATACAATAGGAATAAAAAATAAATTAATAGACTTCTTGAAGATTGTATTACCAAGGTTTAATCACAGTTGTCTATACACGTGTTACTATTTTATTCAAAAGTTGTTTTATTGTTGTAGTTTCTTATCAACAAATTCGACAACTTCAAAGCAATTTCAAACAAATATACAAACCCACTTGAAAAAAATTGCTAGGCATTTGGTATTACGTAGAGAACAAACTTTAAAAACTACTCTAAGCTTTGCGAAAGACAAATCGACCACTATTAAAAATAACGGTTGTATACCTAGCATGAGAAATGTTTGTTGTAGATTATTAAAAGTTTATAGATTCAATTTTTACATATCTTAATCGTTTATCGATTAGATTAGAAAGTTATTGTACAACTTATGACATAGAATGATAATGAATACAGTAGTAATTAAAGAAACACTATCAGCAATATGACACACTCTTTCATAAGATTGTCAACAACCCAAATCATGAGTAAGCGGTGAAAAATTTGTGATATTTTATTGGGAAGTTAACTAATTTTTCAACAACTTTTGAACTGAACCTTTCACAGCAATAATGGTTTCATAATTTTGTTAAGAGTAAAAAGAAGCATAACATACAAATTTTTAATCAAAATAATCCCTGCCGTCTTTTTGATAACTCGTTTATTTAATTGATTTTAAATCATAATTCAATATTGACTATGAAAAATCACAATTAAAATAAAAGTTTTAAGAAAATAAGAAAAACAATGAATTGATATACCCATTCGTAGCTCAAACACGAAAACTTTGAAGAAAACAATACTTTCTCCTCTATAACATATACTATGTATAAGCTTATACTAGCTTATACTATGTAAAAGGAGAGAAAGTAAATCAATTTTAAAAAAGTTACTTTTTCAACCCCCCCCCCCCATTAAAAACATTAAATACATTTTTTTTTTAAGTAATTTCTAATTCCTACTCAATGACTCTTTCGTTATCCTTTGTAGGATAACAACTGTTTTACGGCTATATCAATACAAAGGAAATCATAATTGCATTTAAAATTCAACCTTATTGTTATTTAAAATTGTACAACAGTTGGTCAAAATGAGGATGAAAACAAGCAATCGTACCTTAAGGGATTAGAGAGTTGTTTTCTTGTATTTACATGGCGTCCTTAAGAGTCGATCCTCACCGTGCGTCAGATAGATAAGCCTAAAGACGACATCCGGAGCGCCTTTAGTATGGTAATTTTAGTTATCTTGTAATTAACGTGTGGTTTAACCAGCTTTACGAAAACAGGCTTAACTCCTTCTTGGATGTACTTGTTAAGGTTTATTGTAAAACTACGAGTGTTGCGATAAAAATTTGCGAAAAAATGTTTTTCCATACATGCGCTTGTTTTAGATTATATGATTATTATTATGTTACTGTATTGGCAAAATGAGTTACGACTATCTATACCAGCGAAATTTCAATTTCAAATTAAATTCTACATTATTTGTATTGTATTAGTAAAATAATACATCAGCTGGTTATAGTAAAAATAAAAACGATAGAACGAGCAATCGTACCTTAAGAGATTAGAGAGATGTTTTCTTGTATTTACATAGCGTACTTAAGAGTCGATCCTCACCGTGCGTCAGATAGATAAGCCTAAAGACGACATCCGGAGCGCCTTTAGTATGGTAATTTTAGTTATCTTGTAATTAACGTGTGGTTTAACCAGCTTTACGAAAACAGGCTTAACTCCTCCATGGATGTACTTGTTAAGGTTTATTGTAAAACTACGAGTGTTGTGATAAAAAGGTTTAGGAAGTGTCAACTTACAGATTATACGCCCTATTTTACGAATTTTATAGAAATAATAAAAATGATCTAGCCACGTAAAATTAGTTACATTCAAACATAAGTTTGCTATTATCATTAATCTTACATTACTTACTTAGTATTTAAATACTTCATCTATTCCAAAGTCATATACTATAATTAACGAACGTATCCTAAAAGTTTTTTAAAAACCCAACGTAACAAGCCTAGGAATATTTAGCTCTATAAAAATGTTGCAGTTACATGAATAATGAGAGTGAAATTATATCTTAAAATATTACCTACAAAATTAATTTTACAGTAGGTTAAATAAATATAAGTTACACAACCGTTACTTAATACCAGCATTGGCTAGTAAATTAGTTTGATTATTTTTCCAAGCTCCAGAGATTAGTTCAAATCGGACAGCTTGTTTGTCGACCAAGTGACATGTCGGACATCTAAAAATATTCTACCTCACTTTTATTCCACTCCAATTCTCCAATGACTTCAACAAATAAGTCA